GTTTCACATAGGTGTCATGTCTCAAACGTCAAACTAATATCCTTTGAGTTAGATAACAATGAGCAATCAATCAATATATTATCGGTTAACCCTTTGAACAAAGTATGTTTTTACATCGGCACTTCACGCCATGATATGAGTGTATTCCCTTTGTTTTAGTAAACCTAGACATGTAAACACTCACTTTTGACATATCCACTGGCAAGATAACAGTGATTAATCAATCAATGTATTTTCTGTTAATCCTTTGATGACTAGGAACAACGTGGATTTTCAAAAAAGTAAATCAACTGATCATTCATCTCATGCTGGGCTGCCATGTGCATATTACATAACACACATTTCACCTCACTTCAAACCTGGATTTAGATTGAATAATTACCCCAGACACAATAAATGCCAAATTGGAACCTTTGTCAGGTATTCTGAGTGGTGCTACCACTAATTATACCTGTAATAAATTCATTAACTGAGCATCAAGCGAATGTCAACAAATACACACAAGTGTAGGGTTATACGAGAAAACGTAGATGACAACAAGGGAGTAGTAATCGTGTTATCGACGCAATCCGAAATCCGAAAATGCTTTCACTGCATGGATATTCTTTTATTATTAAACTATAACAATCATATAACTATTTCCAAATGATGACCTCCGATGAGCTTTTTTTTGTCTGTTTGTTTAGGCTGAAGAAATTAATTAACATGCGCCCTTTGTCGAAATCTTTTTAGATCAAGGTTAACCAATCAGTGTTCAATAAATGAGTAAAACAATTATTGCCTCCAAGTTTATTCAGCTGTCCTTGCAGACGGTAGCCCAGTCTCTTGTCATGCTCAGTTGCGTTGCGTATCATCCGGGTACTCACGAGGAAAAAACAATAACAAAGGCAACCACCAGTCCCGGGGAATTGCTTTAGATCAGTGCCCCTTTAAGGACTAATGCAGAATAAGTATACAAATATTTAATATATATAGGATTTTACTAGTTTTGTTTTGATAGGAAAGTGATAATAAATTAACCTTTGGATTCTAAAAGTAATGTGTATCTATGAAACTAATACAAAATTATTCTCGGTACAAAATTACATACCGATAAGGGTAAAAAAACCACTACATTTCAATTTGATTTCTTGGAACACTGGGATAAAAAAAAGATTTCTCGTCAGTAAAATTCCTTTTCACATTTCTTTACGTAACCCAACAGATAGACGACTCATGTTTTGTTCTAATAGTAGAAATGTTTTTCTGAAAAATATGGATACTTGTGAAATGAGGGCTTATGATTCAACCTAACTTGTCAGATGGTTTGACACTGGTCTATTAAAGAAAAATCCTTATGAAATTTTGAAAAAAATAATTTGTGACACTGAAAATTTCAAGCACTTAACCAAAGAGTGTTCAGGGAATGACAAATATGTTGTTTTTTTTGGCAAAGACCCTTTTTGGTCTTCTGGTCCTTAGGCCCTAAATGAATGTGATAAAGCTTGCAGCTCCCGAATCCTGGTCATTTGACGATCCGTGTTTCGAAGGCGCTCCTGCCAATGTGTTATCACTGGTATGAGTGCCTCCAACTCAAGGTTGTTGATGTGCCATGGCTTAAGATTTTTATCCATCTGTCACCTTGGCCCTGAAGAGCTCTAGATCTGTCTGAAATAGCCCTCCTATGAATTGGAGTCAGTAGGATGGGATTAGTTCCATATTTGCCTCTTTGACTATCCTGGTGAAGTCCCGATGATGGGTTAATATTCCCGCTTCTGGATGATTCAGTATGCTGTCTTCTATGTACAACTCAATAGGCGGCTATTGGCTTGGTAAAGCTGGTAAGAAGCCACGGCTCCACTGAAATGCCAAATGGTAGGACCACCCACTTGTAGCGAAGGCTGATCAGGGAATCGTAAGCATAGATGCTGCCCCTGAGGTAATGAGACGAGGACACTCCAGGTAACGTTTGTTGAACAGTGCAAGGTTGTGTTTCATCCGCATCTTGTTTGAATCCCACTTGGTCATTGTGTCCACCTCCGGTCCTTGCGCCTACCCTGGGAACTCCCCCTAAGGGATTGATAGGAGCCTTGGCCTCTGCCCCTGGCCTGTCCTTTGTCACGAAAGGAGGACTGATCGGTGGTCTGTCTGGTCCTTGAGGGATGAGTGCCTGGGCTGATAATTCCCAGACTTTGATGTACGTTGGCCAAATGTTCTGGGATACATGTTCCAGAGGCTTGAGTGCTGTCTTTGGTATGCATGTCAGTTATGGGACCATTAAATAATGTTGAGGCCTACCATTGCTGACGAAGCAGCAGGCGCTTAAGTTAAGAATCCCAATTGGATAAGGCCAGATACCCCAGATGCCAGGTGGCGGTAATCTCAGCTAAAACCGCCTGAAGGTGATTGCACATGTGGTCAATCTGCCTATGTTGGAAATCAACCACCATCTGGAAACTATCGATCCTATTTGCATTGGTCTCGGAAAGATCTTGGTCCATAGCACGAGACGACGAGGCTAATGCTGACAAGGGTTTTAGGGACTGCCCGATTTCCATTTCCCAGGCTCAGCTTACCATAGTACTAATTGGATCAGGTTGACGACTATATGGCTCACATGCCTCTTCGATCCTTAGGGTTAGTTGTGTCAGGGTAAGCGTATTAGGGTTAGATATCCGTTTCCGATGAAACACCTTCATGACTCTAAGAATGGGTACCACTACCCAATCAAACAAACCTTTATGATCTTTAGGGTTAGATGCCCTTTTACGATCCTTTGGGGAAGTTGTGAGGTAGGATATCGGTTAGCTATCTCTTTTAAAGAATAAATCAAATCTAATTTCAGGAAACTCAGAACACTTTTATCAAATTTCGAGTTTCACAGAGAAAATGGCTACTGCGCATGAGCATAACAGTAAAACAATAGAGTGCTGATGACTTGGTAAACGAACACTAATAATTTGTTGATAGAGCCCATTGTGTCTTGGCCAATTAGATTATTTCATAAGCCTAGCTTAGCTTAGAGCTTGCAAAATGCAAGTTCGATCCTCCAAGTGTGGCTAATTGAAATCCGAAAAAAGTGCGGCCGGTAAAGTCCACTACTCCCTATTCTTCCATTATGAAGATTGTCAACTTTCGCCAAGACATATATATGAAGGCAATGTAAGTTTTGTTGATATTAAAATAGCATTAAGTAATGCTGACGTCAGACGAAGCGCAACATGTTTGATTTTCATACGTCTGCTAGCATCACAGCACGAGATTTGTATTTTCGTGTATCATAAATATTCAAACAAAACACTTGAAATTAGGTTTAAATTTATGAGTCATTTATTGTTTCCTGCAAATTTTGTTACATGACACGTCAGATTAACCTGAATGTTCGTATCTCTGCTGCTGACATGATGACTTTCAATATTAATTTTTTTTCTGTTTAATGTTTGGATAATAAATTTACTGAAATGGTTCATGATTGACCATTGCGTTGTTATTTGCAAATTTGAAAAAAATCATATTTATACTCAGTTAAATTTAAGAGAGCGGAGATATGATTATTGAAATCAATTTACAGAAATTTTATAATTTAAGAAGCACTGACTTGTTTTATGAAGCACCGACTGTTTGAAATCGTCCATCCTCTTTACAGGGCCTTATGCTAAAACAGTTCAGCAGGCTAAAGGTTAAAGGAATAATACGTAATATTAACAGTACACATAATCTAGTCATCAACATTAAAATAGTACAAACTGTTTTAAATGACAAACCCATCTTTACTCTTATATTAGTTGTTATAATGGTCAGTTCAAAAAAATTTTGGTGACCATTTTCTTTTTCGACAAAATCCAAGGCTGCCCAGAATACATGTATCAGATGGTTGGTCCGCAAATTTAGGGGTATACCACCCCAATTGCCTCTAACCTGCATGAGGCAAAGGCAGTGGCATTGACCATGGCATGACATAGCAACTGTTGATTCGGTTGATTCGGGAAGTCAGACACAGTGTTTGCCTCACACTACCTTAGGTACATCCCGGTCTCAGATATACAGGGCCTACACCAGTTTGGACCACTCATACTGGCTCCACAGCTGACAGCAGCCCGTCATCGCAGGTGCATGGCTTGATACTAGCATCCGACTGGATTGCATGCTGTATCGTGTAGTTACAAGAATATATAACTGAATCTTCAAGCTTCTTTATTTGTTCTAACATTATGGTCCCGAAATACGAGGGATAATAGATTCGTCTGTAGGGAATTATGACTGCAACATTGAAGTCATCACAAGACGAGGCTGTTTCGACGGTGTCATTAACCCTCTGCTCGCGAACCTTTGTCTGCAGATATATTGTAGAGAATTGGTTTAAAAACCTTGTCTGGCATTATCCTCTTCCCACTCTAGCGTAGTCAATCACTGCGGTTGAGGTTGATAGCTGTAACTGAGCGAAACAAGAGATGCTAAGCCTTATGTCTGCGTAATGTAAGTGTACAAGCAGTCTTGAAGAACTTCACTGGCCAGACCAGGAATGATTTATCTGTCTAGTCTATAGGACGAGTTGTTCATCAGGAGCAAGAAGTAGCTCTGAAACGTTGTACAAAGACTAAAAATGAAATTGCTACCCATAAAAGAATCATAAAGTCATGTTCTCCCAACTTCTAAATGCCTATCAAAGACCTAAAAGTATTGATATAGGATAAAACAGCAAAACAAGTTCAAGCAGGCTCAAACTGTCCACAGACAACAGGCCAACATTTTAAACATTCAGCTGGTCAAAGCCAAAGCGAAAACAGCTAGTGACTGACAGCACTTAAAAGATATCTGGCCCTGTTACTCACAGAAACACTGACATTGACCTTTGCAGTTTAAAGAGCAGGGCCATTTTATACCATGATCTTAAATATCTTCTCCTCTGATACTGTTTGACTGAAGCAGCTGAATAAGTATATTGTCATAAATCAAGACAGAATCTTGTTTGTGCGTTCTTTGTTTTAGAAATAGCTGCCAGAATGTTTCAATCTTTTCAGGGTAAAATGGTGCTACATTTGTCCAAAGAGCCATCAGCCAGGCTGCTCAAGCATGTGGTGAGATGCTACCTGAGGTTGTCCGATAATCCTAGGTAAGTGTTCACTGTTAACATGTATGTCACGTGTCATTCACTCACACAAAATTCGGGGGCACGGGTGGCCTAGTCGTCTAAGGCGCCGCGATTCGCTGTGCAGAGTTGGGTCCCCTTGGCACGCCAGAAACCTATGATTGTGGGTTTGAATCCCAGTTCGCCCCGATTATGTTTCTAGGTTTGTCAGCACCATACCCGTGCTCGTGGGTTTCACCGAAGTGGTAAACGTCTGAGACCTGCATTACTTTGGGCTTTCCTTCCACATGAAGCTGACACGCAACGATGTAACTGTAATACTGTTAAAAGTGGTGTTAAACCCAACTCACTCACTCACACAAAAAATTCATGGTTATATGTCGACTTTTAAGCAGATGAATTTGATCTTTCATGACAACTTTTCATTTACATGCACAAGATAAATGATTCAAATGTAGCAGAAAACAAGACAACCGGTTCTTAACGCATGTGTCGGGGCAAGTAGTCCATAATCCATGTGTCATAAACATACACTTTTAGCTCACTTGAAAGTCAAGTGAGCTTTTGTCATGTCCTTCTTGTCTGGCATCCAGCAATTGATGGTGCCATCTGTAAACATCTTCTCTTCAGAAGACACAGGACCAATGAAGCAGAAATTTAACATGTTTGTTCCCACCTGATGATGATATCTGAATTTGTTCAGGAGGTTTGAATCCAATTAAGAAATCAATTTATGGTAATTACAAAATGGAATGACATGTAGTATATGTTCAGTGGGTGTGACTATTGGGTAAAAAGAACTATTGTGCTATTGCCAACCAACTATTGCCATTGCAATAGCTATTGTTTTCTACTATTGCAATAGTTAACATTTAATAATGATTATCCCGAAAAAAGGAGGAAAAGTCTAGGGGGGTCTGGGGGCATCCCCACCCCATCCCCCCCCCCCCCCCCCCCCGCCCATTTTTCCTTAATAAAATGTTACCACACAAAAAACTTTGTTTTTGTATGATATACAACCACCTTTACAGTGCCTCACCCTCCACGGCGCCCCGCGCCAGGAGGAGTAACTCTCACCGAAATCCCTTTCCTTTAAGTCATCTGACTGTCAAGACGTTTGATTATTTCAAGAAAGTTTCAAGAACCTAATAGTTCACTGAGAGACCATGACTGACTAAACTGTATGTATGGTACATTTTTTTCCTTGCAAAGGCGTAATACCTCGCATTGTAAAGTTATAGTGTTGTAATTCTAATAGAAGAAACGCCACGCGCACGGTACATTTGAATTCAAATGGCCGTAATGGCGTCCATTTTGTAGTTACACTGTCTGACACATGTAAACCAAGGCCATCAAAACGGCTTGGTTTTTTGTTATATCATACAGAATTGAACTACAGGTTTTCCTTTACATAAACCCAAGGTGGTGTGCTAGATTATAACTACACTTACCTTTTTTACGGGTTTTACACCTTAGTGCGTAAAAATGGTGTTAAAAATTATACTACGGACATTGGCTATTATTATTCTAGTATTCAAATAGCATTCTACTTTAGCCTTTGCTTCTGTTTTCACAATTTTGCATGTATCTTTCCGATCTTTAATATCGCACTGATACACTATTTTCCCGCCCCCAACCCAACTCAGAATTTACGGTCTTTTTTACAGACCTTTAAACTTTGTTTGGGATGTGGGTCGAACATCCCACCCCAGGACCAGCATTCAAGCTGCCTGAAGTGTTTGGTAGAAAGGGGGCATGATGATCAATCATGCCCCATTTGCCGGGAGTTTACCCCGAGAACTATGAAGCGTCGGCACGCCGACCTCATCCACTTTAAGGGTCTACTTGAGGCGGGGGTGGACATTCACTCCAAGAAGGCCGTTGCCCCCCTTCTAAAAAGGGTAAAAACAAGGCTAAATCTACTCCTTCTGCTACAGTCTTCTCCGCCCCCTCTCCGAGGGCTGCAGGAGAGGGCTCTAGGGTCCCCGAGGTTCCTACACCTGCACCCTCTCCTGCACCCTCTTTGGCAGACATTTCTGCTTTACTTAAGTCGCAGATGGCGTTGATGATGGAGGAGGTTAAGTCCCAACTCCGAGAGGAGCTGCGGGCTGGGCATTCCCTGTTGTCGGCACCGGACGCGGCCTCGAGGCCCTGTGGAATGCCTGGCGTCGGCCGAGGCAGGCCACTTGGCCTCGGGGACGATCCGAGACCGGGGTTCGGCTCCGGCTCGAGGTCGCTCCCCAGCGGAGGGGTGACGGGCGCTGGCCCGGTCACTTCCTCCGCACCTTTTTCCCTAGCGGAGCCAGACGCCTTCTCCGAGGCCGAGGCTTCCACTAGTGGATCTGTGGCCCAGAGCCAGGTGGGTTCCCTTGAACCCCGGGTGGACCCACAGTCACCAGTTCTCGAACTGCAGACAGCGATGATCCACTGCCTCAAACCAGATGACCCCGTAGGCGGCCGACTGGCTCTATTCCTCAAGGAACGGGAGACAGTTACATCCAATCCCTGGACCCTGTCCACTATCAGGGATGGCCATTTGCCTTGGTGGAAACACCATCCACCCCCCTTCTCCAGGATAAAGCACACTCCGGTGCCTGCTACCCGAGAGAAGGCGGAGTTCCTCCGTCGACGCTCTTCTTATGAAAGCTGCGATTGAACCGGTTCCCAAGGGACAGGAAAACGAGGGCTTCTACTCGACGTATTTCCTAGTCACCAAAAAAGACGGAGGGTTCACACAGGAGGCTGAACAAACTTATAGAGATGGACAACCAAACGGCGATGACTTACATCCGGAAGCAGGGGGGAACTTTGTCTCCGTCGCTTCTCCAAGAGACGTGGCAGTTCCTCCTATGGTGCGACACACACGATATCAGGGTGATACCAGTTTATCTCCCGGGGTTGGACAACGTCTGTGCAGACGCTCTGTCTCGCTGGATCCTCGCTCCTCATGAGTGGATTATCTCCCGATTATACGGGTCGTTCCAGGTGGACTCTGCGTCTGGGGTGAATCACCAGACACCAACGCTCTGCTCCCCAGTCCCCGACCAAAGGTCGGTGGCACCGGACGCCTTCAAGCTAGACGGACAGAGTTCTGTGGGCATTCCCGCCAGTCCCTCTGATTTCCAAGGTCCTATCTCAGCTAGCCACTCAGCCTGTGCGACTACTTGTGCTACTGGCACCTCTTTGGTCGGCGCAGAGTTGGTTTTCAGTAATACTTAGGTTTCGGGCTCAGCCTCCTGTTCTATTACCTTTACGACCGGACCTCCTATCCCAGAACGGGGCCTTCCACCCGAATCCCAGGATTCTATGGGTGGCTTGGCCACTGTCAGGAATCGCCTCCAGAAGAGTGGTATTCCTGCACGAGTTGCAGATACAATCCTGGCTTCGCGGAGGGATTCGACAAATGTTCAGTACGAGGATAGATTGGGTGTGGTGTGTCGATAGAGGGATTGCAGATCCCTTTTCTGCAGATCTCGTAGCCGTGCTTGAGTTCCTCCAGTCGCGACTAGATGAAGGCCTGGCCGCATCGACAGTCCGAGGGTACTCTACAGCTATTGCAGCTTTTCACATCCCTGTCGATGGGCACTTCTGGGTGCACACCCATTAGTGCAGCGCTTTTTAGCAGGTGTGGACAGGATCCGACCGCCTGTCCGGCGGATCAGTCCCCCTTGGGACTTGTCAATCGTTCTTGATTGGCTGTCCGGTCCTTCCTTTTGGGATCTGTCCTCTCTCTCTCTTCAGCTGTTGAGCTGGAAGACGGCGTCCCTTGTGGCGGTAACGTCCAGCAGACGGGTAGGCGACATTCATGCAATGTCAGCCGATCCCAAACTAACTGTCTTCCACCGGGACAGAGTCAGTATTCGGCTGCCGGACTCTTACCGTCCTAAGGTCACACACGCCTTCCACGTGACGGCTCCTATTGAGCTTCCTGCTCTTTCACAGCCTTCCTCGTCAGGGACCACTGCAAGACATGCTCATGTCTTGGATGTCCGCAGGACCCTCAAGGCCTATGTCAGCAGAACTAAGGGTATCCGTTAGGATAACCAACTATTTTGCTGTTACGGCGGTAGGAAGGCTGGCTCACCTGCGAGCAAACAATCTATCTCGAGGTGGATAGTTTTAACCATTTGTACAGCGTATACGCTTCAAGGCAGGGACCCCCCTACCAGGTTGAAGGCTCATTCGGTTAGAGCAGTGGCTACGTCACAAGCGTACGCCGCAGCTTTGCCCATTGAGGAGATCTGCTCCGCGGCTATGTGGAGCCAGCCGAGCACGTTCATCAAACATTACCAACTCGACAAACACTCAAGCGAGCGTGTTCGGTTTGGTCAGTCAGTTCTCCAAACTGGGCAAAGTTCTACATCTCTAGCCGATTGAGCCTTCGCGATTTTAGACCGTCCTCAGGCTATACTGCTCAGTAATGGTCCGGACTTTATCTTCTGCGGTCAATAAATATCAGTCCTTACTACTCGATAATACTCGTATCTGCACACGCACTCCTTCGATCCTCGGAGAACCTCTGACCTAGTTTTGCACAGGTTCATAGTTCATAGTATATGGTCGACCACGCCCTGTCTCTAGCCCCCGCCTCTCGAAGGTGGTGCCTCACGATAAGGTTGGTTCAATTTATTGAACTCTTTTTAATTCATTGAAATAGTCAGAATACGATGTATTTATTTATGCTTGCTGCTGACGGATGCCACTTCCTAGATTATCTTTAGGAGTCTATCTTCATGCAATAAGTGCCCCAAGGAGGATTTAATCTGAAGAGAATTTTACAAACCTGTAGAGGTTATGAATTCTCTGATGAAATCCTCCTTGGGGCACGGCCACCCACCTCCCCAATTGTTTTGTGTGGTAACATTTTATAAGGGAAAAATAGTTACAACTATGTCATGTAGATTTTCTTGAGCAAGGAAAATGCAATAAGTGCCCCAAGGAGGATTTCATCAGAGAATTCATAACCTCTACAGGTTTGTAAAAAATTTAAATAAATAAAATATTTTTGAAATGTCATTTACAACTAAAATGTTCAGAAACTTTTACTATCTTTTACAGAGCATGTGAAGCTTTGCGCCAGTGCCTACCAGACCAACTCAAAGACAGTACATTTGCCACATGTCTTAAAGATGACAACTCTACCAAAAGATGGCTTTCTCAGCTGCAAGTAAACCTAGAAGCACCCACCGGCCCAGGACCTGACCCTCGTGGCATGACGACACCACTTCACCAACAGTGACTGGAACAAACTACATATGTCAATAAACTCCCTGTTAATGTGCTCTTTCATCAGTCATAACATATTCTATCTTGGATACTGTATGGCTAGTAGATTTCAAAGGCCCAGTTAAAGTCCTATTGATGGGACCTTCCCGGTTATACTCATCAGTCATCAAAGTTATTGTTTCATGACAGCATTTGAATGAAAAGTTATTAATGTATAATTAGATGTAACATTTTGTTATCTTAAGAAATCTTGAAGAGGTTTAATCTCTCAATGCATGTAGAAAAGTTTACAATAATAATGGTTAGGCTCTCCTTTGTATTATAGAACAACTAAATGCACTCCGTCTGGTATTATGTATTTCAGGAAGTGTAAGTTGTCTTTGCATGAGCCAATGACATGACTCACTCATTTTTATCTTGATCACTTGGACTGAAGGTCCATGTGAGCTTATGGCATGTTGTTTGTTACTTGTTAACTTTTGACTGCGATTAGGTTATCTAGCACTGTAACAGGACTCAAATGTGTTCCCAACAGTCAAATCAAAATAAGAAATAAATAAATGCAAATTGCCATAAACCCTAAAAAAAGGTTCTAAGGAACTACAAGGTCTTGAAATATATATAACTATACATATATATGATGTGTAGCAACTCAGTGAGATTCATATTTGTTCATGCTGGCAAGGATTATGTTGGGAGGTGTTTTCACTACGCATTACATTACATTATTGCATTACATTTGCCAATCCGTCATTGATGAATATCAAACGTGACAGTAATATCATTACAATCTAGCAGTTTGTGCATATCCATTTAAAACTGACAATTGTAAATGCCACCAAGCATTTGTTTATAATGCCTTGGATTTCTAAGTTTCACTTTCATGTGTTGAGACTCATTAACTCACAACACTTTTAGTCACAACAGTCATATTGCATTAATGGCCACATAATCAGGGACAACTGATAAGAAGAATCTCTTTAAATAATTTCTGGCTGGAGAAATAGTGAGTGATTGTAATTTCTTGCTCACTTATGAGAGAATAAATGCAATAAAATTTTTACACATGCCACAGGGTCATACATAATATGCATATTAGGACCAGCCAATGAAAATGCAATGTCTCGCATCTCGCAAGGGAATATTATCATACGATTGCTGTGGGTTTACCAGGTTAATAAGTCACTTATTCAATGCATTTTGTACTTTGAGTCCGCCGACTTTCACTTTTACCAAGACTCATTCTGCAGTTTTATTCAAAGATTTGTGTAACAGTGTCATTTTTTGTTAGATCATGATTGATTAAAGAGAATAAAAACGTACACATGAATAATGGTCATTCCAGTATTGGGAATATTTTTAACTGTAATCAAAATGCACACTGATCAGTGACATATATTGACAAATTATTATTATTATTGTCTTTGACATGTATTTAAAAACGATAATAAAAAATCATAAATCTCATTAATATTTGTAGAAACTTTGTTACCTTTAGTAAGAATCCCATTCATGCTGGCCCATGAGGGATATTCTCTTGTATAGGCCCACCACTTATTTTTCCTGGGTAAACCCTGGTGCCAGTAAAATGAAAATACCTTTAAAATGTATGATCTAAATATTGATGCTTATAAGCATCTGTACCACACCATCCACTGCACTTTGTCCACTTTGTCCATTGCTGAAGATGTTGTGCAAATGAAATATATTTAATAACTGAGAAACAGCTTTACCAAATGCAGGGATGGAAATGAGCACTCTCCGGCTAGCCCATCCAGTTTTGTTAATGTTAAAGGTATCCTAAGGACTAGTAGAATTTCAAATAGTTGTGGGGATATTGCTGGATGTTTTCACTATTTGGGCAAGGAGACACTCTTGGTTAATTTCCATCCCAGTTTACATAAATTTTTGTCACTTTAATGATGTTCCTTACAGTTTAAAGAATATAACATTGGGATGATACTGTCCTCTCATGAAACAGTTCACATTATGCATTTCCTTATTTGATGACTAGAGTTTTCACAATTTACAACATTCAGTACACTTAGAACATACCTGGTTACAAATAGTGCCATGATGCTATTTTCAAACCTCTGCTCTTTGTTTACTGTTATTAGAAGCATGTGCAGTGTTTGCCCTGGAACCATCCCATTGAGACATGATGGGTATCTGGATGTAAAAGATTTCATGAGCCGTATTAAGCAAGTTTTCACTTATATGTTCAGTGTCACAACATTGATACTTTTGTATATTTTACTGAGCAAAATTTAACCGACAGGGTCACATTTTCAATAACTTAATCCATCATGAATCATCTGCCTGTTTCTATAAGGAGCTCCCTGTAACTGCTATTTTGACGTGACAGGGCACTCTAACATAGTATTACATCACAGTAAGGCACATAACGTTTGGGGCTTGCATACCACACATACAGAACATAAAATCAAGGTACAGCAGTTCCATGCCTTAAGGTTTTGCCTGAATTTGACCACTGCCACACTTTGTTTAAAACCATGCAATACTTAGACACCTCAGAGATATCATGGCATACATGTCTTCATTATGGTCATACGAAATGCTTTTGACATATTGCTGTCATGTCTAAGTTCCAAAGTCATCACCCAAATATATACTGCCAAACTCTGAAAATAGTATTTTTTATCTTATCTTGCATTATTCCTCAATGCATATTACTGCTTGTCTTGACAGAAAGAACTGTTTGAAGTTTTGCTAAAGAGAAGTTGTTTCAACTAGCTTAGAGGACAACCTGATCACACAGCTCGTACGTGACCACAGAAGTGATGACGTCCCAGATCTGCACATTACTGCTGTCACTCACAGTGGATACACCAGTGTGATCTCTCAGTATAAATTTATTATTCTCACTTAGTTGTGTTGATTTTAAGGGAATTCCCTTGTGATTCTGTTGTGCCTCAGGTTTGTATCTTCATATTATTCATATGATTTACTTCATAGCATAATTACTTGACACCTGGTGATACTTTTTCACCACAGTAAAATCAGGTGTCTTATTGTTTCAGCAGCCATCTTGAATATTTTATGTGGTCATGTGTATCTCGTTGTTTGCCTTCTGTATGCTTTTGATTGCCAAGTACTTGTATTTTATTGTTTATTAAAGTGTTGTTGTTTTTCGTGTTATCATAAACTTGTTTTTCATAAATCCACAAGACTGGAAAAAAGATTATAGCATACATAATCGGGTGCGGACGGATTGTGATTCAACTCTGCTTCATTGCAGATAACATGCCATCTTGTAACAAAACGGAGTGGGGTCCTCATCTCCTGTGCCTTAATTGTATGTCCCTGTGCTCCCAGTCAACCAAATGTAAAGAACTATGCAGTCCAGTCCACAGGCGCCTCCAGGCTTTGGACCTTCTGCATATCAACAGAAGCAGCAACAACAGATGCCACAGCCACAGACGCCCTGCAAGAGATGCCTCTTGGCTCCATTACTTCCAGCAATCCCAACCGAGGTTCCTGGTGTCTTCAGCTTCGGCCACCATCTTGGCTCCTCCAGCGTCTACAGGTGACTTGCCAGTCACAAGCGCTGTGGACTGCGCCTTTTTAGGCGTCTCTACAGGCGACACATGCGACTCGTCTGCCACTAGACCCTCCAGGTCGCATGTCTCCTCACTGGGAACTTCGTCTAAACGCAGCAGCAAGTCGTCCAGTTCTAGATGCCACTCCCGAAGCCACTCCTTGGTGCGACGTTTCAGGAGCTACTTTTCCTTTAAACCTTCTTATGAAGGGTCAATGACAGTGGTCAATGCTCACCTTGGTCTCCTTCCCTGGCCAGGGTGTGGACAAAACGTAACGGTTTGGTCTGACTCCACAGCCATCCCTCCAGATCCCTCAATCATGGACATGATCTGAGCCTTGGATAAGGACTTCGCAAAGTTGTCGTAAACTCCTTCCTTCAGTATAAGAGAGACAACTACTCCATCCACTCAGGTGCAACTCTCCGGGACTCAGCCACACAGCCGGGACTCAACCTCTCAGCCTTTTGGGGTAAGCCCAGGGGTAACTGAAAGCACTCTGGCTCCTAACAGCGACGAGAATGCTCCGGGAGTTGGAGCGGCGATTGCAGGTACTGCAAGTGAAGCAACACACACCCACGACTGCATCCTCCCACCCCAACTTGTTCAAGTTTTCAACTTGGAAATCCTGGGGAATTCTTCATCACCAACATCCTCCGCCACAGGAACAGGCTCACACAATTGACGACCCGCCACTAACGTCGTCGCCCATAGTGGACACTTATGCCCCTGCTCAACAGCAGCTCCTCCGCTCGAACGTCAAAATGCTGCTGGCGGGGATATTCCTCGGATTCATCTTCATGGGAGTCCACAACCAATGGGCAGTCTTCCTGTTTGGAACTTCATTGGCCCCGTGGCTATTACACTCATCAACAAGCCGATAGCATCAACCCTCCACTTGAGAGGCATCCAGTTTGAGACGTACATAGACGGCTGCAACCTGAACCAAATGGACACGGCGACGCTCCTTCATCACAGGGACTTTACACAACGCCTGATATTTTAACTGGGATGGCTAATCAACCTCTGAAGTAGGAACTACACTGTCATTCTGCCTACAATTCATCTGGGGTCTCTTACAAACCAGTCGAGACATCCTCTACGTACCAAGGGACAGGTGGGATTGGATCCAACTCCACCTACTTCCGGCTCTTCACCAGTCATGCACAAGGAATCAGTGGCAAGTGATCTTTGGCAGGGAAGGACTTGACCTCAAGGGGTCTCCTACAGTAGACCCTTCAGAACGCGCGTCTCGCCATCTCGATGGAAAACATCACCGTCTTTTTGTGCCTCCAGAACCAGGGAATGACTCTCCCACTCACTCTCCAAGCTCCTGTACTCCTTTCGAGGGTCATCCAAAAGATCAAGCTGACACAGAGTCTAGATTTGACTTTGGTCATGCCCTTGTGGCCAGTGAGAGGTTGGTTCGTCGATCTCAGAGGTAACGGCAGCTGACCTTCTCCAACACCAAGATGGGCGAACCTACAGGTTCCTCGACACAGCAAGCGACCACATCCAGCACCAGACAAGTTTCATCTACACCTCTGGTCCATCTACAAAGAGCACTAAGTGCCAAGGGCTACTCTGCCAGAGCGGCAAAGGCCATTACACTGGCTCTCCGACCATCTACCAAGAGTCTCTATGACAGCCTGTGGCTCTCCTTTGAAAGTTTCTGCAAGGAATAACATCAGAAGCCCACCACTGCGTCTTCTCAATTACTGGCAGAGCTCCTGCTGTTCCTGCTTCACAAGCAGAGTTGATGGCAGCACCATCACAACATATCTAGTGTCCCTCAACTCCGTCTTCGTGATTCCGGAAGATGGTAAAATGATGAGGATTCCGGAACTCCAAGCCAAACTTCGCTACTTCCTATTGGAAGATCAGAAGGCCAAGTTCAGACTCCCAGCCTGGGACCTGAATGTCATCCTCACCTGCCTGAGAGCTGTGCCCTTTGATCCACTTCATTGGGCGTGGTTCGACAACCTGATGAAAAAGACCATCTTCCTCCTGGCTCTAGACACGATGGCGCCAGCAACCCACACAAGATCCAGGCAGTCACATCCACCTTGGCGCTTCACAGCAATTGCTTTATATCCGCCATTACGGAAGGCTGTTTCTGGCAATCAAACACTGTTCGCCTGTCACTCCCTGCGAGAGGTGGCCAAAGAAGAGTGCAAGGCATGTACGGTTTTGGTCCTTAAGTGGTGGCCCAACAAGTCACTGCTACTGGGCGCCATTGATTACTTCACTTATCCAGAGCCAGCCTCTCTACCTCTCCGGTGCGTACCACCTTTAACTAGAAGGCAACATGCTACGTGCATTTGGGCATGGTACGTCAATTGTAAATTGTAATTTAATTTATGCTCTGTTTGTACCGATATCTAGATGTACGTCATACCAGACTCCCTCCTTCCCTGTCAACAGGAACGGTTGATTTACGCCGAGACTCGCCTTTGCTTATTGGCTGAGGGATTTCCAGCAGTCTTGGAGGGAAGATCACATCTGATCTGATTGAGATGCATTAACGAGTAATGCAGAATAAGTTAAAAAATCAAGTAAAATCCGGGATATTTTTTTTATTTGTATACTTATCCTGCATTACTGCGTCTAAAGAGACCCACCCATCGCAAAGCTGCCTCCCCGTGATGTCTTCATATGTTCCGGATTTGAGCAGTCATGTGCTGATTCGTGACGTCATCACTTCTATGGTCACGTAGGAGCTGTGTGAAAGGGTTGTCCTCTCAGCTTGTTGAAACGACTTCTTCTTCAGCAAGACCCCACCAGCTCTTTTTTCTGTTAAGAACAAGCAGTAGGTGCATTGAGGAGTAATGCAGGATAAGTACACAAATATAAAAAATATCCCGGATTTTACTTGAATTTTTAACTGAGAAACAACGCTTGGATTTGAAA